CCCTCATCTGGTTCCTCGGCTCATTGCGGGGGAACACTCTGGGCCCGAGCTTCTCTCCGGGAGAACCTGGGTTTGTCATCTTTGCTTCTCCAGCACCACTGGCCAGAGACCCGACAGGAACCCGATGTCCCAGGTTGAACTGGGAAAAACCCTGGGCTCCAGGTTCCATGGTGGCTCCTGGAGGCATCTGCTGCCCCCTGGTGGCCATAGAGCTAACAGAAGGAGAACGTCAAGGCAAATGGAGTCCTTGGAGAGAGGCCAACGTGGCTGAAGGACTTTGAACTGAAAGCCACCAGGTGACAGCAGCAGCCTTCCTGGGGGACAGCAGTCCTCCACATGTTTGGTCTCAGGTCCCCTCTACACTCATAGGCTTTTTGTCAGGTGGGTTAATTACATCCTTCTTAGAAATGACAACTGAGAAAGTTTTTAAAATATTGATGTACTGATTCCTTTAAAAATAATAAACATCTCATGTTAACACATACATATATTTATGAAAATACCTACATTTTGCAAACCAAAAAAATGGCTTTAATAAAAGGGTGGTATTTGTGTACATTATTGTAATTCTTTTTAATAGTCTAATAGAAGACAGCTGGATTCTCATATCTTCTGCATTCAGCCCCTTGTGAAACTGTGTCATGCAGCTTCTGGAAAATTCCAGTGTACTCATGAGAGAAGGAAAATTAAAAAGGCAAAGAGCCCTGGCCGGGTAGTTCAGTTGGTTAGAGCGTCGTCCCGATACACCAAGGTTGCAGGCTTGATCCCCGGTCAGGGCACATACAGGAATCAACCAGTGAGTGTATACATAAGTGGGACAGCAAATCAGAGTTTCTTTCTCTCTCTCCTCTCCCTTTTATTTCTCTCTCTCTCTCTCCAAACTCAATATAAATAAATAAAGCAAAGAATATCTTAGTGTTACTATGAACTAGTTTTGATGTTGTGGGCTCCCAGGGCCCCCCTCTAAAAACTAACCCCGACTCAGGGTCCTCCTCCATCTGCTCCAGAGAGCAGGGCAGAGGGAGCAGCGAGGGGGGTTGCCTGGCGAGGGAAGAACTGCTGAGTCCCGCCCTCCCTTTCACCCCAAGTCCTGGGCATTCAGGCCGAGCGGCACCCCCGGTGGCCTTTGCTCCAAGAGGAGACTTCCGCAAAAACAGATGGGAAAGCCTTCAAATTTTTTCCTTTTGCGTTTGAAACGGTTAGACTGATGTGAGACAGAAAAATTAAGACTATTGGCTGAGTCAGTGTTTTCCTACCAGGGACAAGGTTTTTAAATTCCCTCCAGGCTGAGGAAGAGAGCAGAGTCCAAGGAGGGGGCCAGCAGAATGAGGCTGTGGTGTGGAATATGCACAATGCATGTAACTGACTACAGAATAGCACCGCTCCAGAATAGGCATCGTAAGGGGCCCAGATATCCACAAATAAAAGGCAAATAAAAAGCGGGCAAAGGCCCTGGCTGGCATAGCTCAGTGGATTGAGTGCAGGCTGCGAACCAAAGCATCGCAGGTTCGATTCCCAGTCAGGGCACATGCCTGGGTTGCAGGCCATGTCCCCAGTGGGGGCCATGTGAGAGGCAACCACACATTGATGTTTCTCTTTCTTTCTCCCTCCCTTCCCCTCTCTAAAAAATAAATAAATAAAATCTTTTTTAAAAAGTGGGCAAAGGATATGAACAAATAACCAACAAGGAAATCTGTGCAGCCGAAATGTACAAAAAGATGCTTAACCTCATTGCAAACTAAAACCTAAAGGAGGTAACATCCATCCAATCAGCAGAAGTGGAACATCTGATGATACCGAGTGTTGGCAGAGTTAGATAGAGCACAGGGGGGCCCTCAGGCTGCTGCTGGGAGGAAGAAGGGACCCAAGTGCTTGGGGAGCCAGTGGGAGGGTCCAGTCAATGAGGGGACTGCTGATATCCAAGTTCACAACAGGATGTGATGGGGGGACAATGCAAGAGTTAAACATTTTTATTTTAGCTTTAGTTAGAGTTAATAGGCTTAGTGATTCGTGCAGTTAGAACTCCGTAGTTCCAGGAACTGGAATGCAGGACCAAGGGGACCTGCCCTGACTCCGGGAAGCCCACAAACAATTCACCCTCTGTGCCAGGGATCAGGAGGGTATCTAAGGATCAGGATGGAAATGCGGTCTCCGTGTGCTCAGAAGGCAGGGTGGAGCGTGCATTTTGCCCCGTGGCCTCACACTCCTTCAATTCTCCTTATTAAGGAGGACAATGGGGTCGGAGAGCTGAGGAACAGTGTCACGAGAGGACTGCAGCTCCCCGTCAGAAGGAGGTAGTGATGCAGCGCCTTGCTGTCCCAGAAGGGCTGTCCTCTGACAGGGAGAGCTACACCTAAGGGTGCACAGGGTGCTCAGAACAGTTAACTTCATCTCTGAGGAACTCCCCTGGACAGCAGTGCTGCCAGAAGAGGCAGACAGTGCCCTGATCTCACCGTGCCCCAGGGCGGGAACGTCCAGTGAGCAGGCTGCGGATGCAAGGGTGCTGGGAAAAGCGCCGGACTGCGACTTTTATCTGATTGACCTTTCCCCCTGAATTGCAAACCTTTTTCTACCCTTTTCTTCTCCTTGTATAAAAGGTGGGCCTGAGATGAGGTGTCATGGCGGTTTTTAGGGTACATGACCCTTAGGTTGCCGGCACCTGAATAAAGTGCCCACGCAGATTCAATCTTTGTCTCTGCTTCTTGGTTCTGGCAGTGACAGCACGGATGCCAACTCTTCTGGTTTCCGATGCTCCAGGCAGTCCAGGTATAACACAGACATCCTGCAAAGCCCTGGGTGCTCCCTTCACAGCGTGACAGGATAAACTGGACTTTGGTACAGTAGAACGCTAAACAACAGTTAAAATAACCGACCCAGTGTCACATTCACATACTTGAACATCTTAAGAATGTAATATTAATTTTTTAAAATTGTCAAATATGTACAGTAAGACATCATTTCCTCCGAGTTTTAAAACCATGCCGACATGCAAAACGAATCTAAACGTGGACGGGAAGGACACAGGTTGACCTCGAGACCGTGCACAGGGTTAAATAGGGCTGGGGCGGGGTGCAAACAGGCCTGCTGTATTTGTAAAACCTAATCTGGAAAAAAATGTTGAGACTAGTCGGTTGGTTACGTGGTGGCATGCAAGTGTTTGCACACCAGTTATTTTCAGCATGTCTGAATTATCTCTCCCTTTTTTTTTCCAATCCTTTTTCCTGTCCTCCACTTGTGTGCTGGGCTCCCCTGCCTCCCAGCCACTCGGGGACCAAGCTTCCACCGGTGGAGTCTCTCCGAGGATCTTGGTTCTCTCTAATAAGAAAGGTGAAATGCCGGCTGGCTCTGACTCTCAGAATTCTAGCCTGTATTTCCCCCAGGGCCTTCAGGAGAATAGCTCCTGCTACAGACACGCTAATTGTTAGAAGAATTCTGCTTGATGCTTGAGCTTTGTCAAAGATTCATTCGCAGAAGCCTCAAGACAGAATCCGATCAGGAGGAGTCAACGAAGAGATTGGAGGTGTCCCCCTCGGATCCCCCTCGGCGCCTAGGTATCACCCACCCCTTGTCTCCTCCTCCTGTTCCTTGGCCTAGAAGATGCTTGAATTCTGGGCTCTCGTAAGGTGAGTTTGTGAAAATTATAACACCCCCCCCCCAATCTTTTGGAGCTGGCACCTTCTCAGTCAATAAAGCTTTTCTTCAAACCCCGACGTTTTGAATATTGATTTTTTTTTTGAGTCTGGTACAGGAACCTTGACCCAGTAACACAATGGCTTTTACCCTTTGGGTCGTCACGTTTACTTATTTTTTTCCCCAGTCTTAAAACATTTTACTCCATATCATGGCACCTTTCAGTTCTCCCTTCCTGATGGTCAGTCAGCTCAGGTAAGGGACTCCACCTCCTGCTTTACCTCGAGCGTGGCCTCCACCCCAGCACCCCGGTCAGGCCCTTGAACAGAACTCTTCCAGCCCAACACACCCAAACACCTGTCAGATCTCACCCTTGGGAGCCCCACTCCGATAAACGCTGCCACGTCGAAGGAGCTGCTCCCAGTTTCTTCCCTTTTAACCTCTTGGGAGTTTTCACCACCCGGGACCAGCCCTCACCTTCTTAAAACTCCCCCTGCCCTGAGCTGTCGCCGCTGGGATGCGGCCACGCTGGGTGTCTGGCTGAGAGTGGGTCGCAGCCAGTTTCAGCCGCCGGACTTCCCCCCCAGCGCTCCGAAACGCCGCCACTAGGCCAACCCGCCTCTCCTGCCGCCTCTGCTCTTCTACACGCAGCCCAGGGGGGAGGAGTCTCCTGTCACACATCGGAACACATGATTCTCTCGTCCCCCTCGTGATACACAGGCAGCTCCGCGGCCCGCGCGCTGTTTCTGGGACGAGGAGGCAGCCACCGCGTGAAGTGCGCACGCAGCATCTGGATGTCTTCAGCAGGCTGACAGCCGGCTCCCGGGGGCCCGGGGGCCTGCTCTGGGCTGCGGCAAGCAGCTCAAGTTCATCCCCAGGGGTGCTCCTTGCGATGCAGGGATGCTGCAGAGAAAAGGAAAAACCGACCTGGCCACGCCCCACCCCAGCGCCCAGGGAAGCGGCCACGGATGGAGGAGGGCGGGTTTCTGAACACAGGCTGTTACCTGCCCCCACCCCCCGCCACTTGCCGGTGAGCCGAGGGCACTGGCTCCACGTTCTGGCCACCGCCTCGCAGGGCTCCCGGCAACGTGCGCAGCTGGAGCCAGCACGAGGCATGTGCTTAGCACGCGCGCGCGGCTGCCGCTCGCCAAGCTACCAGCTACCAGGCCTCGCGGATCTCTGCGCGCCGTTGCTTAGGGAACCTTCGGGTCGAAGAACCGACTGCAGGTGTGGAGGGGGCGGTGGAGCCGCGCTCCTGCGCAACTGGGCGAGCTGGTTTCTGTGCCCAGGACCCTTGTCCCCAGAGAGGCCGTGAGACGCAGCGCCGAGGCCCACCCTGACGGACAGTCAGACCGAATTCGCCACGCCACCAGGATTCGTCTCTTTATTAATACTAATATCGCGCCATTTCCCCGAGGAACTGCTGTAACAGGATCAGGGCTGGATTTCTAAAGGCAGTAAAATAACAATGACATCCTAGACAAAGCACCGGGGACAGTCCTTGCAGAGAAAACGCGCTTTCCTTCTCGGGCCAGAGCGCCCAGGCGTTCCGCGCTGCCCTGGGCGTGCAATTGCGGTCCCGGTGTCCGCGCGCCCCTTCCTTCATCTTGACCTTGGGAACGTCGGGCTCCAGGCGCGCCCAGGGGGCCTTCTCCGCGCTCCTCCCCCTGCGCCGCGTTCCCCTTCCTTCATTCGCCGGATCCTCCATTCGCCGGATCCTCCATTCGCCCGGATCGACTCCCCGCTTCCCGCCAGCGCGGCGACTGCTGCTCCCGGAGGGGCGAGCCGCGCCTGGCGGCGAAACAGCTAGAGCACCAAGAGGCTGGTTCTCCTTCACAAAGTGAACCCGGTACTTTTTTATTCTCATTGATTTTTTTTTTTTTTCCTAAGGAGAGAGAAGTCTTAAATGGCACTAGAGTGTAAAACTACACGGCTGCGTCCAGCTACAGTCGGCCGCCGCATCCGGCCGCAGAGCCACGCGCCCTCAGATGTAGAGCTGGCGGGAGGCCAGGGCGTCCATGAAGGGGCGCACCAGGTTGTCCGTGGAGAAGTAGAAGATGAGCCCGAACGTGATGGAGATGGGGAGGGCGGGCAGCGCTTTCTTGAACACGGCGAGCAGCAGGAGGGTCAGACACAGACCCTGCGGGACGGAGGGGGAGGGGGAGGGGGTGGTCACCGGTAGCGGGGGGAGGGGAGCAGCTAGTGCTGGCCCCATCCCTGGGCTCAGGGGCGTGTCAAGGACTTGTAGGACCACAGCCCCAGACACCCATGACCCTCGGTGGTCCTCTCAGCACCTCTGTGAGGAGTCCAGGGCAGAAGCTCTCACTCCCATCCTAACTCCCTGCCCACGCACGGGCGAACCAGAAAGCTGGCCTCTTGACCCTAGATGCTGCCGCCTCCACCAGACTAACTTCCCTGTCTGTCTACCGTGGTGACACGTATGACCTGACGGCAGCATGCCTACCCCCAGAGGGACATGTATGTACAGGAGATTTGGAGGGTCTCAGGAGCGGACACCAAGGGAACCAAAGATGCCGCGTGACTCCTCCCCTCGGAAGCAGGTGCAGGGGGTCCGATCCTGTCCCCACACCTGTAGACACAACAGTGGTCCAGGGTGGGGGCAGGGAACCAGAGTGCCCGCTCTCTCCCTGGAGAGAGCAGGGTTTCGGCTGAGGCCGGCCAAGGTGGAGGAGCCTGGGTCCACCACCTTCCTCGACAGACACGACGTCTCGGAAGAACCGAGCCTCGTCGGCCTTCATGAGCCACGTGCTGCCCGGGGTTCGCGGGGACAGAGCCCCGAGTGTGAGCCGCTCAGAGCCCTGCCACTGAGGGGCAGACACTGTAGTTCATGCCTCCCCCCTCATTGTGCGACTCGGGCTGCGTTACGTGACTATGGGGACCTCCAGATTTCACTGACGGGCTCAAAGTACTCGGCTCCCCCTCCTGAGCCCCAGGAGGCCCCGGGGATCAGAACCCCAAGGAGTCTGGGTGGTGCACAGAGGGAGCACACCCGGCCCTGGAGATGCAAGCCTGACTTCCAGCTGCAGCTCGTCCCTCCCCAGCGCGGGGCCCGCAGCCCACTGCCTCGTCCGAGAATCTCAGGGGTCGCGACTCGGGCACACCGAGCTGGCCGAGCCCTTGCTTGCCTTGCTGCTCACCCTTGCTGCCCCGGTGAGCACACCCAGTAACGTCACGGCCCCTCTTCTCGTCGACACCCAGCACGTCCTGTGCGCCTCAGTCTCCTGGAAAGCCCGCCCAGCCCCCATCTCTTCGGCCCCTCCCCGGAAACGCAGCATCTGAAAATCCCCCCAGGGCCACAGGCCCGCACGGAGACCCCAGGGCCCCCATGGCCCACTTACAATGAGGATGGCCACGAAGCAAGCCAGGGTGGTGTTCCAGTCCCCGCTGCCCGTGGCCGCCGCCTTGCCCACCAGCACGCTGTAGAAGATGAAGTCTCCGAGGCCGAGCTTCACACCCCCTGTGTGGGGAAGACAGGGGAATCCGTCATCGCAGAAGCCCCAGGGGAGTGGCAGGGGAGGCAGACAGCAGCCAAACAGCCAGGGGCCCAGGGACAGAGCCCAGGGGCGTGCTCAGGGGGCCAACCAGGGTAGCTCTGCCAACCAGCCTGCCCCCCTGTGCCTGGGGACAAGGAACGGCTGCCCTGGGAAAGGGGCAGCCAGAGGGACAAGGGGAGACCTGCGGGCTGAGTGGTCACTGCGCAGGCACACAGCGGGCACTCCGTGAATGCTGTTAAGTGACAGGCTCCGGTTTGCGTGCGCAAGTCCCCGTGGCCTGCCCCCCCCCCGACGCCACCCTTGCAGGTCTCTCCCTGGCTTCTGTGAGGCCATCTCTGACGACAGAGGAACATCTCCCTGACCCCCCCGCTCCAGACCTCAGGGAGCCCCACCTCCGCCCCCCGCCCCCAGGGCCACGCAGACTATCTGGACACGGGCACCTTACTTTCCTCCTCTTCCTCCAGCTCCTCCCCTGGGTAGCCAGGCAGGGGGTGCTCGAAGACTTCAGGGTATGAGGGCTCCCCAAAATTGTCGTAGGAGTCTTCTTCTGGGAGTCCAGTAACAGCAGGTGGCCCGCATCACCATGGGGGAGGAAGAGGACGAGGGAGAGAGACAGACGGCCAGTCAGCGGCCTCTCTGGGGCTCGGGGCGGCCCTGCCCTCGCCCACCAGCCCCGACACAAAGAGCAAGACTCTCCAGGGCACGGAAGAGAAGGGATGCTGCGGCAGAGGGCCGAAGTGCCCCCTCCCTGAACCCCCAAGGTGCCAGGGGGTTGGTTTTCCCTCCTGCCCGCCCAGACCCCGTGTCTCCCGGGGAGGCCAGACCAGACTGAGCTGGGCACACGAGAGGGGCTGCCCCCGGGGACGAGAAGCTCCCCTTCCCCAACACTCACCCATCTCTGGGTCGTAGGGGAGCTGAAGGGCTCCCTGGGAGGAGGGGTCCAGCTTGGCCATGCCCACTGGCCACACCATGGCAGCTGGAGAAGGAGACAGGGGTCAGGCCTCAGGTGGGGCGAACTGTGGCTGCCCCTGGGCCTGCGGGGCAGGTGGGCCCCTCGGTGTCCCCAGGAGCCTGCACGGGACCCTCAGTTCCGTGGTGCTCGGTGTGTCCCCCTGTTAGGAGGCCACTGGGTGGGTGGGGGGCGGTGTCCAGGCCCATGGGCCGGGTGTGGGCAGACAACTCTTTTCCTATCTGCGCTGCCTCTTCACAAAAACAAAGGTAATCATGTCAGTGAGTAGTTTGGTGAACTAATTGTGGTTTTGTTTCATTGTGGTTAAAAACAAACAAACATGTAACATAAAATGTATCATCTTAACCATTCTTAAGCCAGTTCAGTTTAATAGTGCTAAGTGTATTCACACTGTTGTGAAACAGGGCTCCAGACCTTTTTCATTTTGCAACACTGAAACTTTGTGTCCAGTGAATAAGCCCCACTGTCCCCTCTGCCCGTCTTACTTTCTGTCTCTGTGAATTTACCCTAGGTAGCTCCTGTAAGTGGAATCTACAGTGTTTATCTTTTTGTGGCTGGCCCAATTCACTCAGCATAATGTCCTCAAGGCTCATCCATGTAGCACATGCCAGGATTTCTTTCTTTTTTTAAGACTGAACAATATTCCATGCACGGTGTGCACATACACATTTTGTTGATCCATTCACCCACCGACAGACACGTGGGCTGCTTCCAGCTCTTCGCTGTTGTAACGAATGCTGCTACAAAGGTGGTTGTACAGAAAACACGTTCAAGACCCCACTTCAGTTCTCTCGGGTACCTGCCCAGAAGTGGGACTGCTGGGTTACGGGTCCTAACACGGTTTTCTCGCTCCGGCCCAGAGACCTCCCCCGACTTGCGTCCCAGCTCTCCAGCCGAACGCCCAGTGAGCATCTCACATTTGACATGCCCCAAATGCTCCCAACAGCTGCCAGTCCCATCCTCTGTGTTGTTGCTCCCAAAACACTGACATCATCCTTGACGCTCTCCCACCGTGTGCCAACCGTCAGCTCGTCGTGCCAGTGCCGCCTCCAAAACGCCCCCAGAAGGCAACCACGTCCTATTGCCTCCACGGCTGCCCCTGAGCCGAAGCCCAGCCCCTCTCTCCTGGGCTGTTTGTTACTCAGCCTCCAAACCTGGCTCCGGCTCCCACCCTTGACGCCCCCACACTTTGTTCCCCACTCAGCCACCTGCGCGAGCCCGTGGAAATGTCAGGCCAGCCCAGCCCAGCCCAGCCTTCCACGGCTGTCACATCTCACTCGGGAGTAAAGCCGCGTCCTCAGCACAGCCTGCAGGGCCTGCGCCGATCTGGGGCTGCCCCTCCCCCTGCCGACCCCGGGGCACGCCCTGGGCACACCAGGCCCACGCCCACCGCAGGGCCTTCGCACTTGTTGCGGTTCCTTCTGCCTGGAATTCTGTCCCCAGATTTTCCTACGGCAGGAAGATGACACAGGGCTTCCTGGACCACCTTATGCAGAACACCAGCCCCCACTACCCCGAAGTCCCTTACGCTGCGTTCTTTCTACGGAGCAGTTGCCTCCTGATTTATGCATTTGTCTGTGTAGTCACCGCCTTCCCTCCTAGAATGTGAGCGCCACCAGAGTGCACAGACGGTGAACGGGGGTCCGGGCACCGACTCCATCTTTCCACGCGCGGCCCCTTGGAGCATGCCCGGAATGTGCCTTCACACCCGAATCTGCACGTGTTGGAGAGTACCCGGAGCCGTATAGCTGTTCCACAGACTGCTCCTCCAGGGCACCCTGCAGACAGCTGAGCCCCGGAGATTCACGCTCTCTGCTCAGGCGCCACCAGCAACGGACAGGAGGGCGTGACCAGCACAGCGCTGGGAGCTCCGGGAGGCCCGGCCAGCGTGGGCCTCGCCTCCAGCGGCAACCCCAGTGCCCCGCACAGTGCCCGCCACAGAGCGGGGATCGGACACCTGACACACGTGTGTGGAGTGCACGCACAAACCCGAACCCCCCCACGCTGGCCGGAGCCCAGGGGCATTCCGCGTGCCTTCCCTTCAGAGACGTCCCTGCAACCAGCCACGCGGCTGCGAGGGAAGCCCAGTGAAAGGCAGGCGAGCCCCGCCCCCCCACACCCCTCCCTCGAAGAGCCCCTCTCTGAGGCGCCTCCAGCCGTGGAGGGCTGAGCGGGTGGCCACGGGCTCTGGGGACGCGGTCGGCACCCACCACATGCCTGCCACCGGAGGCTGGGCGGGCGAAGCTCCGGCGCCCTCTTGCTCTAACTTTCCAAGCCCCGTCCTGTGTGACAGCAGGGAGTGCGTGCTGCCGCCTCCTCCCTTCGCTCAGGGAAAGGACAGCCATCTCCTAGTCAATGCTGAGAGCCACGGCGGCCAGCAACCTGCCCCTGGCTCCCGCCTCGGTGCCTCTGACCCCACGTCGGAGGGGGTGCGGGGGCCACTCACACGAGTATATCAGGGCGGGGAATATGGGTTCGTTTCTCTCCTGCGCGGTCTCCACCAGCATCCTCAGCGGCCCTTTGGGGCACAGCACGGCCACGAGATCTGGGGAGAAGCAAGGTGAAACAGACACTTATTTCCGAACAACCCCCAAAGAGGGGAGCCGGCCCTCGTGACACCGGCGTGGACGGGGCCGCTGTGTCCCGGAGACCCGAGTGTGAGGCTCTCGGGGTGGGCCCTGCCGCCCCGTCGCCCAGCCCCCGGGTCTCCAGCCCCGTCTCTGGAGTCTGCCCTGGTGGGGGAGGCAGAGCGGGAGGATGAACTTGAGGCCCCACTACGCTGGGCACTCGCATGGCAGGAGCAGCAACAGCACTGGTGAGGGCAGCTGCCTTGACACTAATGAGAGAGCGGCCGGCTCTTTGGATGCTGCTTGCTCGTAGGCACCGTGCAGGTGTCTGTGCCCGAGACGGACAGCGTGCCGAGCACCGACGGTGGGCATGCTCGGCCGACATCTGCTGTCACTGACAACCACACCAGCGGGCACGAGGCTGCAGGACCACGCAGGCCGTACGAAAGCGAGCCTCTCCAGAGGAGGACCAGCCGGGCTCCGCGGGGAGGGGAGGGGACCTTTCCAGCACCTGCCGCACGTGAGCAGCAGCAGCAGCAGCAGCGAGGACTCGCCCCAGACGCCGACCCCCACTGCCCACCGCCAGCCCTCGCGCCGCCCGCGCCCGCTCACCGTACACAGAGATGGCGCCCAGGATGACCCACGCGGACCACTCCGGGAGGTACTTGATGAACACTAGGGCCATGAGCGCGCTGATGGCGATGAGGTAGGCCTGCTGCAGCACCAGGGGGCCCTTCCAGTGGATGCACACCATGCCCACCGCCCCGAAGTTCCAGACGGTCAGCAGCAGCGTGGGGTGGTCCATGGCCACGTTGTAGGTCTTGAGCACTTCCCTGTGGGAGCCCGGGGGGTGGGGGGACCCCACTCAGTGGGGAAGTGGGGCCCGCCGCAATTCAGCAGCCCCCGCTCCTCGACTGGTAAGTCCCAATGGGGTGTTTCTGGCTCCTGGTTCCATGGACCACTGTCCCTTCCCCATTGCCATGAGCCCTCAACGAGCCACTTGGAACCATTTCCTGAGCAAGGCGGGGAGTGAACTGGCGTCTCATTCCCGGGCTGGTTCACGTACACGTGCTCTGGCACAGCCCGGGGGAATCTGGGCCCCTGGAAAAAGTGTGTTCTCCTGTCCCTCCTGTCTCTTTGGGCCCCTGGGTTGGGTTGATACCCCAAACCAAGGGCAACAGAGACCACTTTTGCCATGCACCAGGGAGAACCCAGGCCAAGCCCCAAGCCCAGAATGTAAACTTTGAGGGGCCCTACCCTCCTCGGGGTCACAGAGCGCCTTCCCCACGCTGGCCCTGCTTATCCGCGTTAACTTAGGGAGCAGAGAGGGACATGTGGCCCGCCATGGAGCCCGCTCCCCCGAGTCCGAAGGCAGCCCGTGGGACGTGGGCCGGGCTCCTGGAGCAGAGACACCTGGGGGTGTGGGGCCCAAGGGGCGCCCTTCCCCGCCCAGGGCCCTCACAGTCACTCGTGCCGCCCGGGGAGGACCCCCCAAGGCCCCCGCCGCCCGCCAGCCGCCACTCACCCGAGGTAGATGTAGGTGAAGAGGAACAGCAGCATCAGCGAGGACACGATGAGCCAGCCGTGGATGAACTGGGCGGGGAGATGGGCAGAGTGACCACACCGCAGGCCCACGTGTCTCGGGCCTCAGGTGCTGGGCACCGAGGCCCACGCCTGGAAACCGTTCCGTGTCGGGGCCCTTGAGCCTGTGCTGGGGGGCACTAGCAGCCATTTCCCAGATCCGAGGGGGCAGGGGAGTTCAAGGTCTCTGAAGGTCACCCAGCAAGGGCATGAAGGAGACAGACCTCCTTTAAGTCTGAACACCCAGACCAGAGCACGCACTCAGACAGGGTGCGCCGGGTGTCCCCGACATGCCCGACACTCCTGCGCCCCGGAGGAAAAGCCAGCAGCGTCTCTGCCCAGGTGTGCTGCTTCCCAGTGTGAGGGCAGTGGGGGGACAAACACACACACACACACACACGTTCCGGCAGGCGTGACAAGGGCCACGAAGAAAACTCGTGGTCAGGATGAAACAATGGGAGACTCAGGGGGTTTAGCAAGAGGGGTCAGTGCAGGCTCTTGAGGGAGACTCTTCTGAACAGTTGACACGGGGAGTCCCCTCCCCACTGAGCGCCAGCACGCTCCTCTCCTAGCCGGACGCGGGAGGGCCAAAGACCAGGGTAAGGCTGCTCCTGAGCCAGTCCCTTGGCCAGCCGTCAGTGGCGCAGTGGTGACGCTCCTGCCAGTCCCCTTACTCTGGGGACAGACCCAGCATGGGCCACGAGAGATCTCGGGGAGGACCTGGTCTACCGGGACTGACATGGGTGGCCTTCGTCGGGCTGCGTGTGGCTGCCTTTGGGAGGTGCTGACGCCCTTTTGTCCCAGCCAGCCCGGCCCGCCCAAGGTGACTGTCAGCGCCTGAGTGTCGTGGGACCTGCCAGTACCCTTACTGCACAGTCCCTGGGATTGGTCACGGAAGTGCTGGCTTCCCATACCCGCCCCCCAACCCCACCCCCATGCCTGGCTTTTGTTTGCGCCGTAGCCTCTGCTCCAGACAAGCCGCCCTCCCCTCTGCTCCCCACCACCTACCCCACCCCAACTTAAAACGCTGGGATCGTTTACACAGGTAATTATTCACTGACAGGCCTCAGCTCCCGGGCACTTCCCGACAGCCTCTCCCATGGCTCAGTCCCACTTCCACCCCCCGCCGGGAAGGGGCTCCGGACTGGGCCCCCCATCTCCCGCTACCTGCTCCACAGGCGGTGGCGGCCTGAACACAAAGTGCTGTGCGTGCCCGTGTGCGATCGGTTTTACGTCAGGTTGTGCCTGCTTTAACTTCCTTTTAGTCACCGGGGCTTCAGAGCCCTCCGTGGGGGAAGAGCCTGAAACTCACATCTAGAAGCTTACAGTATCTCTGGGGACAATGCCCACAACTGGGGTCAGGAGGACTCCACTCCCTGCGCCACCTCCTGCGGCCACTCCACAGCCAAAGGGGGCCACGCGGCCTGTCTGTGCTGGAAGACCCTAGCACCGCATCTGTGCCTCCCCGGCCCAAAGGGAAATGGGAAACTAAAAATAAACCTGGGGGGGGGAGGGGGAAGTGTGGGGTCAAGGGAGCCTGAAATAGAACGTCTCACTTCTTCAGAAGGGGAAGCAAGATAACATTCACTTTGAATATGAGAAGTGACACTCGGCACATGGCGGGGAGGAACTCGATTCGGTGGGATTATGGGTAAGCTTAAAAGCAAAGAGCCTTGGGTAATCCATGGCTGGGGCAGGAGTGGGTGTGAGAGTACCAAAACTCGGAGTCTGTTTTGTAGGAAAAAAAGGACTCTGATTTTTTTTTTTTTTTTTAAGCTAACGGTTGCTGCACAGGGCCCGCCCGGTGGGCGGCTGGGCGGCGCGCGGGCCGGCGCTCACCTTGTAGCAGCGGTACTTGTAGAGCACGACCAGGAAGATGGTCATGACCACGATGACGCTGATCATGATGAGGGTGTTGAGCACGGAGTTGAGGAGGCGCTGGCCCACCGAGGGCGTGTTCTCCGTGAACGGCGTGTAGATGCTGAGGGCAAAGGTGGGGGGCCTTGGTGTTCCTTCTCTGCCCCCCCCGGGTGTCCCCATCCGGACGGAGCCTCGGGCCGCTGGTGCAGGCGCCCTGGGAACACCTGCCCGACTGGGGTGCTGTCCGCCCTCCCCACCAGCTGCCCGGCCTTCCAGCCCATCTCCTGGCCCCGACCTCTCAGCCCGACGACCGGACCCAAAGTAACGGTGGAAAAGGGCTCAGATGACCGCATCAAGGCCCTGCGTCCCCAGGCCACTGGGACCTGGCCCGGAGGCGCCTACCCACTGCTCTGTTCTGATCCGGGGACAGCTAGTGGTTTCCACACCCCCTCACTGTCAGCTCCATCCAGCCTAGGGTGTGCCCCTGCTTCTACCCCACCCAGCACAGTCAGCTCAGGAAAGCAGGTCCCTGCGCCTCCCTGGCCCACCTGGCCCACCAGAAATGAGCAGCCTGCCAAGTCCCCAAGCTCTCTGAGTGCTTTTCACCTCTGCTGTCTGAGTCCCCAGCAGAGGATAAGCTTCCTGACAGCGGGGGCTTCTCTCTCTGCTCCTTTCTTTCAAAAACAAAACTTTACAAAAACTGCCTAAATTAGAAAAAAACTGGGAGGAAGGTACTCGGCAGTGATTGACACAGGGAGGTGGGGTGAGGGAGGGGAAGCGTCTCATTTTTCCGGCAGCTGCTCCTGCCCGCGTTCTCTTTACTAAAATCAACACCATCTCCCTCACGAGGCTGGATGTGAGCTGAGGAACCTGGTCCAGACACAAGGGTTTACGTTCACGGGAGCAGAGGCGCAGAGAGGAGGAGCCTCGTTCAAGGTCATGCAGGGACAGGCAGCATTGCTGTGGGAGGCCCAGCACTGGGGGCACCGCGCTCAGTGCCGCTAGGTGAGAGCTTGCCTTCTGCAGTAAACCCAGCGTGCCACAGCGGGGCGCTGCGCTAGGCCTTTACGTGTATCAACTGCCTTAATGCTCCTGGTAACATTCTTATCAAACCTCTCCTTCCCGCCACCAGCACGGAGCTGCAGGGGCAGCCGAGCCTGACCCAGCCCCGCCCCCACCCTGCCCGGGGGGGGGGGGGGGGGCCCTACTCACAGCTGTCCGTTCTTCTCCGTGTAGAAGCGCACGGACTTGATGGTGGCCACCACCACGATCATGCACAGGGTCACCGGCACGAAGAGCATGATCACGTGCTTCGCCCCGTATTTGAGGGTCAGCTCCTCCTCCAGGCCCGGCAGCCGCCCGGGGACCCCGCTGCAGACGTAGCGGTCAGGGTCCTCCTCGTGGTCCTCCTCGCTGTCCTGGTTTCGCTGTGGGAAACCACACTGTGTGGGCCATCAAATGCCCCCGAGGTGGCCGACGGACGCAGGGCATGGGTGTTTTGGAAGAGGAAACGAGCAGTTTGAACGTTTGAAATGCCAGGGCATTTGAAAAACGTACGAACACAACCAGAGAAAACTCAGACTTGGTGCTAACCACCCCAGATGCAGGGAGGCCACAGCAACCATCGGGGAGGGTGGTCCGCAAGCCCCTGGCTTAATGGCTCATGGGTTTGGGGCACATCTAAGAGCTAGCTGTCCCCTACCTCAGTGCGGGGGCTCAGGGTGCCCCTCAGTTCTGTTCACGTGGCCATACTGACTTGGAGGGGACAGGCCGGGCGACAGGGGGAAGCTGGAGAGTAAACGTTTCTGGCTGACAAATCGCAAACTAGATTGATCAGTACCCACAGGGCCTTTCTTTGATTATAAGTAAGACACTGGGAGTTTGCAGAAAAAGACATCACTTCGAACTTCTGCCCCACCAAAATCAAGCCTGCGCAATTTGCACTCTGAACCAGGGAGGCCAACCCCGCAGCAAGCGCCTGGGGGGACCTGGCCTACGGGGAGCTGGGAGAGAGAGCAGCGAGCAGCAAAGGGGGGCAGCAGGGAGGCCTGCCAGACGCTGGCGTCAATGAACCCGTAAAGGTTTCCGCCTTGGAATTGTGGCAATTTAGGGTCATTAGCCGTCGTGGCCATTACAGTCACAGCCAAAGACAAAGCCAAATGAAATGGAAATCAAAAATGATTATTGCTTCTGTATTGGTGCTCTGCAGAGATTTCTATCTGGATACTCCGCGGAGAAGGAAAAGAAACAAGCCGTTAATGAACAGGAACTGAAACAGCTAAAATGCACAAACACTCCTGGGGATACAAGATGAAGAAACTGCCAAGAAAAGGCCAAGGAGGGGCTGGGCGGTGGCCTTGAGCTGGTGAGGTCCCGCTCTGAGAGCACAGAGCGTCCCAGGAGACAGGAACTCCAAGTTCAGCACGGGGGACTCGGGCTGGCGGGAAGAGAAAGTTCCACGTGGCAAGGTTTTTTAATACTGTCCTGGGTAAAACGAAGAATGAGATGCAGGCGAATTCAGACATGGCTCTGCCCTGATAAGAAGGGAGGCGGCTTGGGTAGATGACTCCCCCAAGTACACCCGCCACTTCAGAATGTTATTGTCAGCCCTCTGGGCTGCAGAGACAAGACCACAGTGTGGCCCACCCCTCCTGTGTGAACTGAATGAATGGATGCCCCTCCAAAATTTCTGTGTTGAAACTTAACGCCCACTGTGATGGTGTCACGAGGGGGGACCTTTGGGAGGTGAGTGGGTCACGAGAGCAGAGCCACTCTGAACAGGGGCAGAGCTCTTACAAAAGGGACTGCAGAGCCTGCTCAGCCCTCCCGCCACGTGAGGACACAGAGAAGACAGCCGCCTGTGGACTGGGGAAGGGGCCTCTCGCTGGACACCAGATCTGCTGGCACCTTGCCTGATCTTGGGCTTCCGGTGTCCAGACAGTGCGAATTAAATTTCTGTGTAATTTCCAAGCCACCCAGGCGTTGGTAGTTTTGTTACAGCAGCCAGAATCCCCAGCTCGAAAGTCTAAGGTGAACGGTCATCTCTCGATCGCCACGTCTACCACCTGCCAGAAAGGGTCCCCTCCGGCAGTGTTCCTCCTGCCACCCTTGGGCGTGTGTTACCTGACCCCACATCCACACCGACTCTCACGTGCCTGCACTAGGAAGGTGAATCTACGGGGCAGGGACCCAGTCCACTGCAGTTGAACTTGAACAGGCTGGGAATGTGCAGTCTACTACAGAGCCCTCGCAGAGTGGACGTGAGCTCTGCCATGGCAACCGCCCACCTTTCCGGCCATTCTCACTTTTACTTTCCCCTCCCCCCGCACCCGGGAATGCCTGGTTTCCACCCGTTAGGCACAGGAGCCCCAGAGGCCTGTTTGGAGGCCTCAGCCCGCTGGCGGGAACCTACCCACGGGGCAGCATTCTCTCCGTCCTCGGGGCCCTGCCTGGCCTCCTGCTGGCAGGAGCGCGGCGTGGGGCTCTCGGCCGACATCAGGGACGTCCGCTCGTTGCATGCTTCCTCCTCGCTGTCGGAGGCCATGAACGTGAGCATGGCCCCGCCTCCGCAGGTACCTGGGAAAACAGACACAGGCGACCTCGTCCGTCTCCCTGGGCGGCACAGGTGGTGCAGGGCAGAGCGGGTGGCTGGCTAGAGGCAGCTTTCAGACCTGGACACAGGTCCTACCCTGCAGCCACCCACCGGGACACCGCGGAATGGCTGCTGTAGAGCAACAGTCCCCAGCAGCCACCACTGAGGCTGCGACGGCCTCAAGAGGGACTGGCCTGAGGAGATCCAGGCCCTAGGAGGCCAAAGGCCCGACTAGAGAAGTCGGGGCCTCTCCACACTGTCAGCACCCTCACCCATCAGCCAGCACACACCCGCTGAGCACCCGCAGTGTGCCAATGCTGCGCCGGGCTCCGGGGATGTGGAGACGAGTAAGAGACACTTTTACCCATAAAAACACACAGAAACCACCCACTGTGACAAATTTGACGACCCAGGTGTCCACCGAGCGGAGCGGCACAGAAGCACGAAGAAGGGACCAGACCTGAGGGCAGGAGTGTCTCCTAGAGGAGGCAGTGTTGCTGATGCGGGCAGATTGTTCCAGGTGCGAGGGAAGGGCATGACGGAAGTCACGGTCAGGGCCTGGCACTGCTGAGAGGGGCAGGGAGGTGTGAAGGGTCTCCTGTGCCATGTTAAGGAGGTGTATGGCGCACCACCACCCCCCTCCCCTGCCCAGGACTGTGTGACAGGCGGATCAGATCTGTGTTCAGAAACGTCTGCCTGGCCGAGGACTGAAAAGGGAGTGAAGAAGGGAAAAGGACTCCCCGAAGGCGTGGGCAGGATGGACGCACAGGACGCAGAAGGCGCCAGGAGGTGGACAGACAGGACCGGAGTCCGGGACAAGGCCAGGCACAGAGTCAGGCGGACAGTCCGGCAGGCGGGAGGAGGCTGTCTCGCGGGGAGGCCGTGGATTTGGAACCCGGGTGTCTACGGGTTAAAAGGGAGAAGCGTCTGGGTGGCAGCTGCGTGCCTGGGTGCAGGGCGCAGGGAGGCAGGTGAGAGGCGTGCGCCTACAAGTGGCAGCCGGCGCCCCTTAGCCGCGGGAGCAGTGAGACCGCGTGGGGCGCGTGTGCGCATGCGCGCGCGTGCGGTGGGCAAGCGCGGCCGAGTGGACTCGGAAAGTTCACAGCTCGAGTTCCTTCCTCGAATGGAGATCGGGGAGAAGTTTCAAGTCCTTCTCTGTGAGCCTCGGTCTTGCAAGATAAAAATCTAAATGCCTGCTGGAACCCGACAGTTCCCTGGTCACTCACTCTGGCCTGGGGGAGTTCATTCTTACTGAGGGTGGGTGGTACCCAGAACTAGGAGGTGCCTGAACTGTCTCCACATCAGCATCCCTGGATCACGACGTTCCAGCCGCAGCAGAGCCTGGGACGGGCGTGGAACCCCAGGTGGCTCTCCTAATGCTGTTTTCCAGCCTGTCCGTTTGGCTTGGGGTGTGGATTAATAATGGCATTACAACCTCCCTCCTTCCGATCAGCCCTGGCCTCGGGGTGCCTGTGATTTACCCTCGCGGTGCCTGGGGTGGGGGGTCAGATCGGGAGTGCCTGCCTCTGGAGAGTGGTGGGTTCACCATTACCCTCGGACCTGGGTGGTCAGGTCCCGACCTCACTAGGCTGCTTAACCCACACGCAGATCCCAGGGCTCCGTCCGACCCAAGGGCCAGGGGTCTGCATTTCCAGACAGGCCCTGGGTGATTTTTCAGGCTGCTGTCAGACCTTCCCTGGAGCCGCCCCTGCCAGGGAACCAGACGCTCCAGCCTGGGCCCCCAGCTCAGCACTGCAAGTGTCCGGTTATAGTCCACCTCCCTGGGCCCTGGGCCGGGGGCCTCGCCCACCCACCTCGGCACCCCCCACTTCTCCATACCACTTGCCCACTAAATCGGGGTGGGGGGGCAACAGAGGGGGCAGTCCTTTCTCCTAAATACCCCGTGTCTGGTCAGAGAGCAGGCGGGCAGAGGAGCAGAGCTTTGCAGACTGAGAACGCTGCAGCAGAAATGCGAGCTCAGCCTGGAAAGGTCCCCCCAAGAAATGCCCCCCATGGAGGAGGGTGTGGGGACAATGGGGCTCAGACACCCCTGGTACGAACTGGACCGGCCTTCGGAAAGCAGTAAAAACTTTTCAAAAGCTTTAAAACAGTCGTACCTTTTGATCCTGAAATGCTACTTATTGGAATTGGGCCTAAGAAAGCAATATAAGATTTGCATAAAAACATGTTTGTTGCCTTTATTTATCATTGTAATGAAAGTGAAAAGGACTGAACTGCCTCTGTCCTCTGATATAGCCATCTGAGGGGGGTTATTATATGACCACTAAAAACACCTTATTTAAAAAAAAATATATATGTGGGGGCGGGTGTGTATAAAGGCCTGGTAAAAAATATTACAAAACTTCAAAGGACGTTTGAAGGTTTGGACAGTGAGATTGTGGGTGATTTTTTATTTAATATATTTCTGTACTTCTAAAGCTTCTATAATAAACATGGATTGCATTCGTATGGGTTTCTTTAAAGCTATTATTTTTTTTAAAGGGGCACCATGAGTATGGACACTTAGACAGGTTTTCTTCTGCCTCTTCTGCAGCCCCTCCCACTGGACGGTGGGGGAGCGGGAGCAGGGTGAGCAGATGGGCTAGGGAAGCCGCCTGCCGTCTCCTCCAGGCCGTCTCCTCCAGCCCCTCTCGTTACCTGGCTCCTGGAGAACAGAGCCGCTGGGACGTACTCCTTTGCTTCTCAGTGGGAACAGAAGCCTAATGGTGTCTGAGGGGAAAACTGCCACCCAAATCTGTGCAGATAAACAACCTGCTTGATGTTTGTCCACCTCGGAGCAGCGGTGACATCAGCTCCCGAGGGAGGCTGACTCACAGGCTGGTGGGGGTGGGGCTGGGTGACTCTCCTATCACTGATGTCAAATCCTGTCACCCACGTAGTAACCAGCACCCCATTCATTCTCTGAGGGGGCTGCAGGAAGAGGCAGAGGGGTTGATGGGGACAGAGGGGGTCCAGGGAACCCTTCCCGGAACAAGGCACAGGGGCTGACAGCTGCCTTGGGTTAGGATGCAAAGGCAAACGTCCCAAGTGGCCGCTGCGCACTCCCATCAGCCAGCTGAATGGAACCAAAGTGCTGAAGTAGCCAAACCGAGGGACACTGACCCAGAGAATTTCCCGGCATGCTCACATCATTTCCTGCAATTATTATAGAAACCTGGTAACCCAGTTTTTTCAACCTCTTTCCCATTTCAGGGAAATGCAAATGTTTTGACCTTAAAATGCAAGGCTAATGGACCTCAGTAGGAGACAGATTTCTTAAATGCCACAGTAAACACTGGTGCCTTATGAAAAAAGATGGAAATTGTAGCTCCAAAAGCAACTCGGCAGCTACTGCAACTTACAACAAACACTTGGGGCTGCAGAGAGAGGTCTGGTCCTGAACGCTTGGTTGTTTTTTGTTTGTTTGTTTGTTTGCAGACCTAGTTGCAAGTTCCCTCCAGTGCAGAGAGGGTGGTGTTAGTTTTAAACAGGCCACTTTCTGTGGTCACACCTCACAGCGCCTATGACTCATGGGAAATTCAGCCTTCCTTTCTACTAGGAAAGGGTTTGCTGAGGTGAGGACATTCCCTTCGAATTTTCTTTAGAGATTCCCACAGCTTCCCTCCCTGTCTGTGTCCCCAGCCCCAGGCTTCTGACGATGCGTTTGGCCCTGGAGGACCTTCATCCACCTGTCCATCTAGTTCAGCCCACACCAAGATGGACGTCACGTGCTGGATGGTTCTCCCCAGCACGGGGGAGGAGGCTTCAGCCACGTGCTCTCTGGCTGCATGGCCTCAGACAATTTATGTAGCTTCACGTGGCCCATTCCTTCTTCTGGAAAAAGCGAAACAGGCATACCTTGCGAGAACACTGTGCAAACTTGAGATCGTGTATCAAGTGCCTGGCACACGGCAGGTGTTTAATAAGCAAATGGCAGTTCTAAGGAAGATGAAAGAGGGACAGGGACACAGGGAAGGGGGACAATGGAAGCCTGTTGATGCCCCTCTTGGGAGGGGCCCCCGGCACTCTGGCAACGGGAACACTTTCTCAAACTAAAGAGCATGTCCCCAGGACGAGTGTCAGAATTGGCAAGGGCGTTAAAGGCCATCTAGCTGATGCCCTATTTTATAGTTAAAGAAACCGAAGATCGGAGGGACACAAGGAAGTCCCAAGATCAAGAGCCACAGTTACTTCCCGCCTGCTGAAGCCCTGGGAGAGCCGTGCACTGGACCGCCCAGGACCACGGTCACGCAGGCGGCCCACGCAGCCCGCCTTTGTGGGGCACACACCTCTTCCATGGGCAGGCGTGTGTGTTTTCCTTAATACACAGCTTCCCCGAAACACAGACGAGAGGTCAGTGAATTATAAACACTCACCAGATCACCCATCGCCTCAGAGTCTCTCTCCGCCACCCCCACAAGTCCAGCCTCTGCTGCCCCTCTGCTGTTAGTGCTCCACGTGGGGGCGGAGAGGGTGGTGGCTCCAACCCGGGCGCGGCACAGGGACAGGGAGTGCCCACATATGGGCAGGGGCAGGGCACTGCTACCCTCAGCCAAATCAAAAGGGTTACGATAACATCATAATCATAGACTCACACCTGTTACGGCACTAGTGCAATAAGTAATGGTCTACACGCCAATCAGAACCGGTTTTCCAAGAATTCCCAACAAAGGGAAAATTCTGAGGGCGTAACATGACACAGGAAAAACAGGACACAGAACTTCCTCTCCAGCTTCCTACCTCTAGCATTTTGACAGATAACGACATATGGATGGGCCTACAGCGTGGTAAGGAAACGCCTGATGATAGCAGTTATCACTGGGCTGAGGGCTACTGGGCTTTTAAAAAAATATTGCCTGAATTTTCCCAGGATGAACACACATTACTTTTTTCCCCCCTGCATGTAGCATTAAGTTTATCCATTTGTTGTTTTTTTTTTAGAACACATCTTACTTTTATTTTTAAAAAGCCAGCAAGTTGCTGGTGAAGGGACAGCAGAAAGGTTAGCACCCTTTCGATTTTTTCTTCCCATGCTCCAGAAGACTGTTTTGGCAAAGATGACTGAGCAACCCATTCTCCCAGGCAATGGATAGGCCGGTCGGAATTGATCTCTTTCCTCAGAATTTCACAAGGTCCACTGCCAGGCCTGGAGGCCAGCACTGATTACACATCAGACCAGCCAGCTCAAGATGAGAAGAACCTCCAGGCCCTGGCCAGTGGCAGCCTGGAGGCCCTGCCAGCCTCAGAGCCCTGACATTCCTCCCCACAGCCCCGCCCCCAACGGCTGAAGTCCGGGAACAGGTGGGAATTCTTGCAAACACTGGTTGTCTTGCCAGTCCCCAACTACACAGTCTTCGAGTCAAAGCAATAGCTGAACACCAGCCAAAGATGTCTTCAGGGGAAACATGCATGGGACCTACACACATTGCTTTGGTTTATTTTTTTTAAAGTATATGTATATATATATGTATGTGTGTGTACATACACTTAATTTTTAATATATCTCTGCTTTGCCAGGTAGTCAGACACCACACAGACATTCCCTGACAGCAGTGCAGGGACACAGGTGGGGGTGGATGTAGGAAACCTCTTGCACAAAAGCTCTAAGTGTTAAGAAGACACAGCCAGCTGGGAGCGAATCCTGGTGCTCAGTCACCAAAGCCATGTAACAGGAAAAGTTGCTTAACTCCCTGAACTTCAGCTTCCCCTTCTTCTGTAGGAGGGTAGAAATCATAGCTAGTGTAGTGTGATTGAAGCTCTGAAGATAACTGTGATAACTACTATACTAAATGGTTTTATTGTAGACGACAAACTCCTAAAGTGAGGTATGCTACATCATCCTCCTCGTCATCAATAACTTAGAAGCCAAGGTCAGTGGTGTGTTTGCGCAATGGTACTGAGAAGAGCCGAGGGCATGGTGACAGGCACAACAACCTGCACTGGCCTCTAGGCACATCCAAGTGGCAGCCTCTGCCCAGGCTCCAACCTGTCCTCCACTTTCTCAAACAGATGCAAACAGGGCATTCGTCTGACACACCAAATAGAACTATACACCCGGTGCCCAGGTACTTCGACACCAAACAATATAGAATTCTCCCTGAAACCACCTCCATCCCACTCTGTAGCAACATTCCTCCAAGCCCCCCACTTCCAGCGCCTGCCCTAAATGCCCCCTCACGCACGCAACGCATGAACCCAGAAAGCCCGCCTGCCTGATGCATGGCTGAGGCTGCAGCTCTGAGCTGGAGCCGGACTCCCCAGCCCCTTCACCATCTGGGCTCTAAAAACACAGCTACTGGCAGGTTTGCCCACGGCCGCACAACCACATTCACACAGAAGGGAACCTGAGGCTCACACACCTGCAGCAGCTTATCCAAAGCCTTTAATTTCTGCCAAAGGTCTTGGCTGAAGGCCTCGGAAGCTCAGGTGTCTACAGAATGAACTATGAAGACATCAGGGGTACCCATACCGGAAGCCAGGGCCTATCCTGATCAAGTTACTCTCAACACAAGCTTGGCAGCCCAGGATGTCGATTTTGAGTTAAGTTGGCTCTGCAATTTTTTCTGGTGCGATGCCTCTCAGGTTCTCTCCCTGTAAATGGGGATGCAGCTGGTCCACCAAGCAACAATTCCTATCTTGAAAAGGGAATGCATGTTAAGTCAGTAGACAGGAGCATTCATCCAACTGCCAAGGTCCAAGGACTGAGCAGCAGAAGGAGAGGCAGCCTGGCTCCGCTTTATCCTACCTGGGCGACCTTGCACAAAGTCACTTGAGCCTTGTGGGCTGAGTTTCTTCATTGATAAAATTTGGGCTGGGAACTTGCTACTATTTAGATTCCTTCAAAAGCTTGATTCTGGGAGTCTCCCCACAGTTGTAATGCCTAATAAAACAGTCAAACGCCGCTGGTCACCAAGTCTCCCCGCTCCAGGTCCTGACCTGCGGTTTAGTTCCTCATACTCGCGGGAAGACCCCCGTCTCCCCTCTTGTCTCCCCTCCTGCCCTAGCAAAGCAGTGCCCAGGGCCAGTGCCACAGGGAGTCAGGGAGGTCCCAATCAGGAGGAAAGGACAAAAGTCACGGTCCACACGCCTTCGAGCCTCACGTGCTCTGCTCCTTTGAATGCCCTGGCCCTTTAACAGTTCACACCGCGCCCACCCCAGCGGGGAGTCGAAGGCGGGGATGACCCCGCCCGGCAGAAGGCCCAAAGCCTCGGGGCCACTCTCCGCACTACCTCCGCGACCCAGTTCCAGGCCGGCTCCGGTATTGCCCGTCCAGGCACCTCCCCTCTCCCGCCCCCACGCCAGCCGCAGAGGCCGGGTCTGCGGCGCGCGCAGGGGCCGCGGTGCGCGCAGGGTCTGTAGCCCCGGAACTGGGGAAGGGACCGCGAGAGGCCCCGGCAAGGGGCGCGCGAAGGGCAGGGCCTGGCCCGCGGGTCGCGATCTACCCGAGGCCTCTGTCCTACGAGCTACCGGACCCTGCCCGCTCGCCACGGGCCCTGGCTGCCCACCGGCTCACCTGTTTCTCCGCGACTCTCGATGGGTGTTTACGCGGCTGGCCCCGCGCCCGGCCAAACCCAGCGACAGCTTAGACCCCGCCCCGGCCCCGCCCCGGCCCCGGCCCCGCCCAGGGCCGGCCCAGGCCCCGCCCCGAACCCGGCCCCGCCCCTGTCCCCGCCCCATCGGCTGCTCGGCGTTCCCGCCTCTGGGCCTGGCCCAGCCTAGAGCGGTTCTGCGCGGGGGGCCCCGACCCGCAGGCTGCGCGCGGCGCTGGTCAGGTTAAACCTGGCACGGGAGTGGGCACTGACCTTACAAAGAGGGGAGGCCGGGCCTCTGTTCTAACGGGGCCAGGCGGCACCGTGGGGCAGCAGTGGGTTTTAGGTGCCTGGGTCCTACCTTTCCTGGATTCCAGAACGGGAGGGATAGGGAATGGACCTTCATTTATTGGGTCTCCATTATAGGCGATTTCCATTTTATTTGTCTTATTTCAGTTGTGGGAACAACTCTGTGAGGGCGGGCACCAGGGATTCCTTTTTCACACACGGGGAAATGGAGGTCCCCAAAGACGAAGCTGCTCCCCAAGGGAGCACGGGCCGGGAGCGGCAGGAGGGAGTGCGGGACTGAGTACGACCTGAGGCCGCAGCCCTCCCCGTGTCAGGGCACGCACCGGGCTGTGGCCGAGGGATCTCTGATGAATTCCTTCCCTTCGCGGTTCTCCTTTGAAGTCAGCACTCTCAGCTGCTTTTCACATGCTGGTTTGTGACGGATGAGTAAGCGCCTTCCTGACCCTGACCTCAGCTTGGGAAGGGATGGCCTCTGCTTCAGGTTTCCGTGTCCAGGGACTGGTGTTTTCTCTGAACACGCTTTAGAAACCAAACGCTGCCGGCTAGACAGTGGGGGGTGGGGGTGGGGGGTAGTGGGAACCACATGAGCTTAAGAACCTGGGTTTGAAATGCATTTTTTCCACTTATTTGGCGCATGACCCAGGCCAATGACTTAACCTCGCTGGGCCTCCCTTTCTTCGTATGTGAAGAGGATTGTGGAGAGGATTCAAACAGAACTAAGGGTAAAAGTGACAGGAACACAGGTGATGCTCAACAAATGTTCATTGTCGTCCTTCTTCAACCTCTCTCTTCTGTTTGTGGCTTTGATTTGCTTGACGTTGGAATGACAGATGGAGTGACTACTCACAAACATTCTGCACCTCTCACTTCTGTTGGGTCACACTCTTCTGTCCTGCTGAGCACAGGAGTGGCCCTGTGACTTTGACTGAGGTTGACAGAGACGCTGCATGGCTGCATGGAAGTTCCGGACAGAAGCTCTGAGGTCCGGAGCAGGTTTCATCTGGTCTTTTTCTGGCAGGAGATCAGCTGGGTTACAGGGAGAGGCTGCTCCAGGAAGCTGGGTTCACAGCTCACAGGAGAAGGACGTGTCCCATGAGCGACAAAGAAACCTTCCTTGTTTTTAGCCACTGAGACCCAGAGCCACTTGTCACTGTAGCGTGCCTAGCCCAGCTTGATCTGATGGATACATCTGCCATTCAGCATCTTACAATTTCATGCAATATTTTTTTAGACTTCTCTAAAAAGGTTTATTTACTGCATTTATGTTTTTAGTGGTGGGTTCCTTATTAAAAACTATTTTTTTCTTGTAAAACTTGTATGCTATGTAGAAAAATATGGAAAAGTAAATAGAGGAAAAGAAAAATCAGCCATGAACACCTTCATTCTTGTCTGATGTCTTTTCCTGGTATTTCTTTTGATAATTTTCTTAGATGAGAATCCATTAGAAATTTTTGAAATTGGAAGCCCCCAAGGATGTCCATACCCTATTCCCTTGAACCTGTGACTATATTACTTTAAATGTCAAAAGGGGATTTGAATGGATCTTTTGCCTATGCATGGCTTTGTGACATCATGTACAGATCATTTAGAAAAACATTGGTTCATTGACTTACTCAGATCACCCAAAGGTTGACACATTTCATTATACAATATAAAGAACACAATAGCATTTGTTAAAATCACCACCAATCTCAGTTGAAAAAATCTTTAACTACCGGGAAGCTTTGAAACTCTCCATGGCAGATACAAATAGTCTAGTATTCTCCTTTGCACTTGAAAGCTCAAATTTTAGCAACAAATACCATTGGTTGCTTCCCTTGAAGTGGCAGAGTCACTTTGTTTATTTTCGGGAACTGTCTGCCAGATACCTCTGAATAACTTGAGGTTGTCTGTCTGTGTTTCAAGTACAAATGGCGTTCTATGGAAAAATCAGCTAGTGCAGCATGCACCCAAGTGTGATCACGTAAGTGCTTTTCCTGGCGACAACCAAGACACTTAAGTTTGTAGCAAAAATGCTTGATGCCTCCTTCCCTTGTCGTCACCCAGAACATGAAACAGAGTGCACACGCAAGAGCAGACATTAAATGGAGTTGATCGTTTCTACCGCTGTATTAAGTACATTCTCAGCTGAAACTGGCATGTGGAAAAAGTCACTAATTCGTGGCTGTGAAGAATACAGTGGCTCCCAGCTCTGTCTGGTGATAACAAAGTCTTAGTGTTCCTGTGAAGACCGTGTGCCCGCACGCACCCTCGGGGGCTGCAGTCGCACTTCGAGAACATCTGAGCCTTTGTGCCTCAGGGTACCTCCACCTCCCTTCCGTTGTTCTACGCCACAGATATGCACAGACTTAGCGTGTTGCTGTTTGTTTCTTGACACCATTTCAAGGATGTCCATGTCACCTTGTCATGTTTCCAACAAGACTTATGAAACAACACGTACTGCATGGGCTCTGCAGCACATGTTTTTTCTTTTAACTATGCCAGCTTCCTCTTTCTATGTTCTTTGGTTCTGTCTGCCACTCCAGACATGTTGGTTGATGAAGGAAAGTGGTAGCTCTCAAGCGGTTATCCCCACTGAATGAGGAATTGTGTAGGGGACCACGGAGGGGGGAGGTATAAGCATGTGAAAGTATTTAAATAAGGAGGCTATTAGCCTGAGTTGGCTCTAATGCAAGCAAACCAAAACTAAGCCGGAGTCACTGCCTTTGAATCTGAGAAAATGAAACTTAAGGACAACCAGTCAGAGACAGCCAACTTGGTTTTGCCGAGTAAGTCAAACGCTTCAGCTGTGGCTGATCAGATGATTTCCTTGCTTTGCTTCTGCGTGTTCTCTATCAAACCCCTTCCCTAGCTCCTCTCCAGGGGAGCTCTCCGACCTTACATTTGGTGCTACCCAATTTGAAGCAACGTATGCTCAAGTCAGCTCTTGAAAGAAATGTTAACATGCCTCAGTTTACCTTTTGACATGCATCTAGGACAATGTGTTCATTTCACTACACTGTGTTTTCCTCCGCAACTACATCAGAAGGTAATGTGGGGTTATGGTACGCTAATCAACACTTATTTTCACTGGCCTCTCAAGGTTTGTTTCTATGGTGGAAGTAGTACATATTCATTAAAGAAAAATTTTGAATTCTAAGTAGGGAAAAGAAGACAGTGACTAATAGTCCTCCCTCCCAAAGATGACCAATCATAACATTTTGGTGCGTTTCTATCCCATGATTTCTTAAAATACACTGTGTGAACCATTTGGCAGCCTACTCCCCCCTACCGCCTCTTAACACCGCGTTATATTCATGTACTATTATGCAGTCTTTATAAACAGTATTTGAAACAGTAGGATGATATTCCAGTGGATGGATATACCGCATTATATTTAACCATTCACTTACTATTGTACTTTTTAGATTGGTAAGGCATCGGTTTCCTTTTCTGTATTGAGAATGATGTCATTCAGCGAAATCCACAGAAATGAAACTACTGGGTGCTTCTGAGGCACATCACCCAAGTCCTTTCCGAAAGCCTTGCGTTCAGGTCTACTTCCCCACAGCAAGGCGTGAGAATGGCCCTTCCTGCCCCCCCCGGCCATGCTCAGCTACTACCAATGTTATAACACCGCCCATCGGAAGGATTTTTAAAAAACCCAACTCTGCATTGTTATAATTTACACCGGTTACTAAGAAGTATGATTCTTTTTCTATGTTTGCTTACCACTTATATTTTCTTTGTGACCTGCCTGTGGCATCCTTAGCCTGTGTTTCGGTTTCTGGATGCCTTTCTCAATACTGTATGTGAATTTTTCGTAACAGAGATAGTGGCCCCGTTTCAATATTAATACTTGCTGCAAATATTTGCAGAGCTAACAAGGAGCATCCGATGTAATCATACTGACACGGAGCAGAGGTCTTGCCTGGATCGAAGTTTGTGAACGTGAGTAATCAAGAGGCACGTTCAAGGCAGGGCAGGTCTGGGCCTCCAGAGCGGCTCCCGGGTGTGACCTTCGTGCCCTGACAGACGCCCTGTGGCTCAAAGTACAGGTGCCCCCCCGGTTCCCGTTGGGCCTCCCCACTAGTCACTTTCACAGAAGACCCTCATCAGTAGTACCTGCTTTCACGGACCATGAGAAATCCCAGGAGGATTTTTTCTTTAGCAACAACAACAAAAAAATCAGTTAATTTACTAATGTAGGTCTTTCATAAAAGTGGGAAGCAAGCCCTGGCTGGTGTAGCTCAGTGGATTGAGCGCGGGCTGCGAACCAAAGTGTCGCAGGTTCGATTCCCAGTCAGGGTACGTGCCTGGGTTGCAGGCCATGACCCCCAGCAACCGCACATTGATGTTTCTCTCTCTCTCTCCCTTCCTTCCCTCTCTAAAAATAAATAAATAAAATCTTAAAAAAAGTGGGAAGCAAAACATGAACTTTTGGAAAGGAGAGACACCCGTAACATACGAGGTCTCCAGTGAGGGGGCATCTCCCCTGGTGGGGGCTGAGGAAGCATCTGGGTTGTGAAAAATCTCCATTTTATACCGCAGGCCGCTGCCCAACTAATGCGACCTTCTCCAGTTATAAATCTATGGAGTCGGGGTTTGTTTACCTTAAGCAACTCTAAACCAGAGACATCAGACTAAAAGAATGTCATTAATGAGCACTCTGCTCCTAGCCAGTACCCCGTCCTCAGCGTATTTACAAAGATATTAGACCAGGTCACTGGCCTTCTTTCTTTCCCTGGGAGTGTCCCCTTGGTGATCGGAAAACTGACCAC